GTTAGCGCAAGTCGAACACACAATTTATCGGAGCAGTTCTCAACTCCACGTGAGCCAGGTTCCAGAAGCATGCTTCCAGGCCATGTCTGACTTCCTTTCCCACATGAAGAGCCATTCTCTTAGCACAGCCCACATGTGACTGCAACTGATGGACCACATGGCCCGCATGCACATATGTGGTCAGCCATGCCCCTCTTCATTTACAACCTTTTCAGGTATGGCTGGCCACAGTCTATATCCCCAGCAGGCATGCCCTGAACAGGGTGGTCATGGTGCCAAGCCACATCCTATCGTCCTTGGACTGGTGGCTGGATCCAGAGTCCATGCTACAAGGGGTTCCCTTTGTGACCCCGTATCCATCGTTACCCTGGTTTCAGATGCGTTGAACTTGAGCTGGAGAGCTCATCTTTGTGAGCTTAGCACCCAGAGCCTCTGGCTACGCAGCGATCTGGCCCTTCATATCAATGTCAGGGAGCTCAGAGCGGTTTGCCTGGCCTGCTAGGTGTTCTTGCCCCACCTGAAGGGCAGGGTGATGATTGTCCTGACAAACAATACAGCTGCGATGTACTACATCAACACGCAGGGCAGAGCCAGGTCCTTGGCCCTTTGTTGGGAAGTGCTCAGCCTCTGGGACTTGTGTGAGACCCGCCATTCATCTGGTAGCTGCCTGGAGCCAAGAATGTCATGGCAGATCATCTCAGCAGTACCTTCTCATCTCGCGATGAGTTGTTGCTCCATCTGGAGGTGATCACCCTAATCTTTCACAAGTGGGAGTCTCCCCAAGTGGACCTGTTCGTGTCCAGACAGAACAGGAAGTGCCATGTGTTCTGTTCTCTGCAGGCAGGGATAAGAGCCCCTTTTTGGACACCTTCCTCATTCTGTGCTTGGGAGCGCTGATGTATGCCTTCCTACCAGTGCTGTTAATCCGGAGTCCTGCTCAAGATAAAGCAAGACAAAGCAATGGACATCCTCATAGCCCTGGCGTAGTCTCGTCACCACTGGTTCGGCATGCTGCTGAGTCTGTCATCAACCACCCTGCTGCAGCTACCTCATAATCCAGATTTGCTGTCTGAGAACCATGGCAACCTGCTACCCCCAAACCTGAAGTTGCTGCACTTGTCGGCTTGTCTGCTGCGTGGCTCAGTGTGGAAGAACGGGGTGTTCCACTGATGTCAAGCAGGTTTTGCTGAGCAGCAGAAAATTGTCCACCAGGGCTGCATATGTGGCAAAGTGGAAGCTGTTAATGTGTTGGGCCATGGACCAACACATTCACACAGATGAGACCCCGCTGCAGGACATCCTGGACTATTTACTGCATCCTGAGCACCAGGGTCTGTTGCTATCTTCAATCAAGGTAGACCCAGAGGCTGTTTCGATGTTCCATCCTCCGCTTTGAGACCATGATGGGGCGTTTCCTGAAGGGTTTGGAGTGCCTTTACCTTCATGTCTGAGACCCGGTTTCCCCCCCCCCCACACACCCCACTTGGGACCTGAATCTTGTGCTGTCCAGGCTCATGGCCCCCCCCAGCCCCTTTGAACCTTTGCCTTCCTGTTCCCTCCTGCTTCTCTCCTGGAAGGTCTTTCTTGGTTGCTATAACTTCAGCCCGTAGGGTGTTCGAGATTAGGGTGCTCATGCCAGAGTCGCCCTAGACATCCTTGTAGAAGACTAAGGTCCAGCTATGTCCGCACCCAGCCTTTCTGCCCAAGGTCATCTCCCAGTTACACACGGGTCAAGACGTTTACTTACCAGTTCTTTGTCCAAAGCCTCATGTAGTGGATGAGGAGCGCAGTTTGCATAACTTGAACGTCAGATGCGCGCTGGCCTTCTACATTGATAGAACGAAGCCATTCTCTAAGTCAACACAGTTGTTCGTTGCTGTAGCTGACAGGATGAAAGGGTGCCAAGTGTCAACCCAGAGAATCTCGTCTTGGATCACGGACTGTATCCGCTATGCTATGAGCTGGCAAGGATGCATCTGCCAGTGATCGTGACAGCTCAATCAATTAGGGCACAGGCGTCGTCAGTTGCCTTCCTGGCGCAGGTGCCAATCAGAGATATCTGTTGGGCTGTGACGTGGTCATCCGTCCACATGTATGCGTAGCACTATGCGCTGGCCCAGCAGGCTCGAGACAATGCTGGGTTTGGCAGAGCAGTGCTGCAAGCTGCGAGACTGTGAACTGTGAGCCCACCTCCATTGATTCTGCTTGTGAGTTGCCTAAAATGGAATTGACATGAGCAAGCACTTGAAGAAAAAAGGGTTACCTACCTTTCATAACTGTTCTTCGAGATGTTTTGCTCCTGTCCATTCCATTACCCACCCTCCTGCCCCTCTGTCGGAGTTGGCAAGAAGGAGCAGAGAGGGTGGTGGTGCCGCACGAGTGCGGCACTCCAGAGGGCCCCACAGCTGTCCCTATAAATACTGCTAAGGCAAAAATCTCCCACCATTCATGTGGGCGTTCACCTAGCATGGAATGGACATAAGCAACACATCTCGAAGATCAACAGTTATGAAAGGTAGGTAACCCTTTTTTCTGGTGTGTGTGTGTGTGTGTTTATATATATATATAAAAATATACTCTTGAAATGAAATCCTCGCTCTATTTAAAGTCAATGATAAAACTCCAACTGACCTCATTAGGGCGTCCTCAAGGCAGGGGACTGCCTCATTCAGTTCGTATGCCTTCTAGTGGATCCCAGGGCCTCTGGGTGCTACTGCAGTATAACTTTTTAAAAACAATAAATGTTGAATACAGCTCTTTTCGGGTGGTTTCTGTGTGCCTTAAGACTGCAGTGTGGCACATTCAGTATGCTGTTGTATAGCAAACTAAAAATGTATATATGCAGTATATAATATCTATAACGAATGGAATGCTCCTTCTACTTGCAAGGAGATCCCGTAGATAATGGAATAATCTTGCCAAATGTCAGACGTTGAACTTCTGAGGCAGGTTTCAGTGAGTTGCTCTTTACTAGTGTGTTTAACCTTTCTCTTAACTTTTTTTTTATAAGTCTTTTCTACACTTGTGTTTTGACATATGTAATGCATGCAAATAAAATTGTAAAAAAGTTTTAAAATTAACTGGTGTACATTTTTTTTCTTGAAAATGACAACTTTATATACAGAGGCCTGTAAGACACATTGTGCTGTCTATAGCACTATAAATGAAATTGATCTTAGACGGTGCAGGAAACATGACCCAGTTTTGAGGCATGACACCCATGAGCAAATTTACAGAAGTGATACTAGGGGATGGGCATTAGGGAGGTATGAGTATATTGTTTAGTATATCCTGGGGCTTCCCTCTTTTGAATCACACAGCGGTTTCACGGTGAATATCTGTCTTCATAATAAAAGCTGTTGGGTAGATTAATCTTAAGAAAATAATAAAACTCTGTAAACATAAGCCTGTTTCAATTGAAATAACCAACAAATGGGACATCTTGAACCTTTCTATCACAAATTCTCTGCCACTGAAGAGACCAATTCTGAATCAGAACTTTAAATTAATCTCAGAATGGTGTCCAGATGTTGACATTTCTTCAAGGTGTAATATCTTAGTTGTCACTATGACTGATGGTCCCTTTTGAATGAATGACTCTCAAAGTGGATATCTTTAATAAAACTCAGCATTATACCATGCTGCCATTCTCTATTTTTTCCTTGCTGTCAAAAAAAAAAATAGTACCTTAACATTATTTGGGGGGGGGGGTGTTATGGGGGATGGGGTGTAGCTTTAAGTGTACTGGCATAAATAAATTTTGGAGACAGCATATTTCTGGCATTTTAGTTTTGTAGATAACACAGTAAATTGGAATTTGGCAGATGAGTAGACAATTTTGTGGTTGGATGTAAGCATCAACATACAATAGGGTTGCCTGACTGTTTTTGGACTTATTAGCAAACTACCATCTATCTGAATACTGGAGTGTGTGGGGGAAGGCTAAGTGGTTGCAATCTGTGTGAGAACTATTTCAAGTTGTAAGAGCCTGATTCTGTTGCTCTTATTCACACTTGACCTCTTAAGTCCTGAAAACTGTGAGACTACTCAGGGTAAGGGTGGCAGAATCTGCCATCAACATCAAAATGATCACTTCAAGGCTTGGACGTTGATGGTATTCTGGCATTACTAGTCTTCAGTGGGAGTAATTGGAGGAATTGAACAAAGTTCACATAACCTTCAACCACCTAGTACTATTTCTTTGTCCAGTAGCTCTCAAATATTTCTGGTATTAAAAGGCTCTTGCCTATGTCTTGCACTGCCGCTGGCCATGACCTGTGGGATGCTAAGCTTAATTAAGATCCTATTGTATTTATAGTGCTTGCAGTAGAAATTTTCAAACCTATAGGATATCTTCCTATAGCCTATTATTGGTTATAGGCCACATGAGGAAAATTGCAAGGCTGCTTAGTGTGAGTGAAGTTCTCCTTTTATTGTTTAATAACCTTATGGCTTCTGGACTGTCAATCACAAGTTTCAGTGTGTAGGCTTAAACCACAGGCTGTTGCTGTAAAGTGAAGAAACTGTGGGCCAGGGGTAGTCAATTATTTTTTGTCAAGGTCCAAATTTTTTGGTCAAGGTATAGTCAAGGTCCAGACCCCAGAGAAAATAATAATAAAAAAAAAAAATAAAAATTTGGGTCCATTCAAAAGCATCTGGTGGTCTGGATTTGGACCACGGTCCACCTATTGACTACCCCTACTGTAGGGGGAAGCGAGGCTGACATTTTTGTACTGTAAACCTTGTGCTGTATCAGAATATTGGTAAGATAAGTTCAAGTGCATGAAGTAAATATCTGCTTTGTTTGGGGGGGGAATGGGGGTAATACACAAAGGGATGTATAGTACCATAGTCTGAGGATGCCGCTATACTCTGCCTAATCGAAAATACATGTGTGTATGCATTAAAATAAGTACGTGTCATGTGTAGCTATGAGTACCTACTATAAGTAACATGTTCACTAAATTTTCTAAAATGTATTTAATGTTGTTGTTTGAAAGGTATACCCTGTTTCATGACCGATTGAGGAACATTGAAGAAAATGAAGGCGGCCTTGATAAATTTTCAGAAAGTTACAAAACCTTTGGAGTCAATCAACTTGTGGATGGCGGACTATATTGCAAAGAGTGGGCTCCAGGGGCAGAAGGAGTGTTTCTTACTGGCGACTTCAGTAAGTATTTTGAAAGAATTTTCCATTTTGGTATTCTCATTCATAATGCCAGATCTATTGCCATGATATAGATTATGGAGTCTGCTTTTTTTGAAAAGTGGGGCTGTCAAGTAGTTGAAAAAATAATCACAATTAATTATGCAATTAATAGCGCCTTTAAACAATAACAAAATATAATTTATTTAAATATTTTTGGACATTTACTATATTTTCAAATATATTGATTTCAGTTACAATACAAAATACAAATTGTACAGTGCTCACTTTATATTTTTATTACAAATATTTGCACTAAAAAAGAAACAAAGGAAATAGTATTTTTCAATTCAGCTAATACAAGTATTGTAGTGCAATCTCTTTATCATGAAAGTGCAACTTATAAATGTAGCATTATATACCAAAAAATGTACTTGAAAATAAAACTGTGAAACGTCAGAGCCTAGAAGTCCACTCAGTCCTATTTCTTGTTCAGCCAATCGCTCAGACAAACAAGTTTGTTTACATTTACGGGAGACAGTACAGCCTGCTTTGTGTTTACAATGTCACCTGAAAGTGAGAACTGGCGTTCCCATGGCACTTTGTAGCTGACATCGCAAGATATTTGTGCCAGATGTGTTAAAGATTCATATGTCCCTTCATGCTTCACCCACCATTTTAGAGGAAATATGTCCATGCTGATGACTGGTTCTGCTCAGTAATGATCTAAAGCAGTGCAGACTGATGCCTGTTCATTTTCATCATCAGAGTCAGAAGCCACCACTAGAAAGTTGATTTTCTTTTTTGGTGGTTCGGGTTCTGTAGTTACCACATCAGAGTGTTGCTCTTAAGACTTCTGAAAGCATCCTCAACAAATGCTCAGATTTTAGAAGGCACTTCAGATTCTTAAATTTTGGGTCTAGTGCTGTAGCTATTTTTAGAAATCTCAAATTGGTACCTTTTTACGTTTTGTCAGATCTGCAGTGAAAGTGTTCTTAAATTCAACAACATGTGCTGGGTTGTCATTCAAGACTGCCGTAACACAAAATATATGGTAGAATAGAGGTGAAACAGAGCAGGAGATATACAATTCTCCCCCCAAGAAGTTGTCATAAATTTAATTAACACATGATTTTTTTTAACAAGCACTGTCAGCATGGAAACATCTCCTCTGGAATGGTGGCTGAAGCATGAAGGGGCATATGAATATTTAGCTTACCTGGCACATAATACCTTGCAATGTTGGCTACAAAAGTGCCATATGAACACCCTGTTCTCACTTTCAGGTGGCATTGTAAATAAGAAGCAGAGAGCATTCTCCCATAAATGTAAACAAACTTGTTTGTCTTAGTGGTTGGCTGAACAAGAAGCAGGATTGATTGGACTTGTAGGATCTAAAGTTTTACATTGGTTTGTTTTTGAGTGCAGTTATTTAACAAAAAAAAATCTACATTTGTAAATAATAATGAAATAATAATTATAAATAGTAATGAAATAATAATAATTTCACAATAAAGAGATTGCATTATAGTACTTGTATTAGCTGAATTGAAAAATACTATTTCTTTTATCATTTTTACAGTGCAAATATTTGTCCCCTGCTCTGTTTTACCCACATTCTGCTATATATTTCATGTTATAGTAGTCTCGAGTGATGCCCCCAGCACATGTTGTTCATTTTAAGAACGCTTTCACTGTAGAGCTGACAAAAAGCAAAAAGGTACCAATGTGAGATTTTTAAAGATAGCTACAACACTCAACCCAAGGTTTAAGAATCTGAAGTGCCTTCCAAACTCTGAGAGGGACAAGGTGTAAAACCATGCTTTCAGAAGTTTTAAAAGAGCAACACTCCAATGCGGAAAGTACAGAACCTGAACCACCAAAAGGGAAAATCAACCTTGTAATGCTGGCATTTGACTCAGATAATGAAAAGGAACATGTATCGGTTCGCACTGCTTTGGAATCTTATCGAGCAGAACCCGTCGTAAGCATGGATGCATGTCCCCTGGAATGGTGGTTGAAGTATGAAGGCACATATGAATCTTTAGTGCATCTGGCACATTAATATCTTGCGATTCCAACTACAACAGTGCCATGCAAACCCTTTGTTCTCACTTGCAGGTGACGTAAACACAAAGCAGGCTGTAGTGTCTCCCGTAAATGTAAACAAATGTGTTTGAGCGATTGGCTTAACAAGAAGTAGGACTAAGTGGACTTGCAGGCTCTAAAATTTTACATTGTTTTAATTTTTGAATTCATTGTTTTTATACATAATTCTACATTTCTAAGTTCAACTTTAATGATAGAGATTACACTACAGTACTTGTATTAGGTGAATTGAAAAATACTATTTCTGTGTTTTTTTTTACAGTGCAAATACTTGTAATCAAGTAAATATAAGGTGATCACTGTACACTTTGTATTCTGTGTTGTAATTGAAGTCAATATATTTGAAAAAGTAGAAAACATCCAAAAATATTTACACAATAATAGAATATCATTTATTTAACCGTGCGATTAATTGCAATTAATTTGTTTGGTCGCTTGACACCCTGATTGCCATATTTGGGCTCGGGAAGGAATTTTCCTCCAGGGCAGATTGGAAGGGGCCCTGGAGGTTTTTCGCCTTCCTCTGTAGCATGGGGCACGGGTCACTTGCTGGAGGATTCTCTGCTCCTTGAAGTCTTTAAACCACGATTTGAGGATGTCAATAGCTCAGACATAGGTGAGAGGTTTTTTGCAGGAGTGGGTGGGTGAAATTCTGTGGCCTGCGTTGTGCAGGAGGTCAGACTCGATCATAATGATCCCTTCTGACCGTAGTATCTATGAATCTATATTGCATTTTTTTAACAGTGCAATTAAAACTGCTATTAATCACAATTTTTTTTACATCATGATTAAATTTTTTTGAGTTAATGGTATGAGTTACCTGCAATTAATTACAGGTTTCAGAGTAACAGCCGTGTTAGTCTGTATTTGCAAAAAGAAAAGGAGTACTTGTGGCACCTTAGAGACTAACCAATTTATTTGAGCATGAGCTTTCGTGAGCTCACGAAAGCTCATGCTCAAATAATTTGGTTAGTCTCTAAGGTGCCACAAGTACTCCTTTTCTTTCTGCAATTAATTGACAGCCCCAATGAAAAGGATATGAAAATCTAACTTAAGTTTACATGTTCCATGATGTGAGTTGCCAGGATATTGGTAAAATGTTATCTGAAGCTTTTAATAGAAAGGAAGAAGAGAATAAGCTGTTAACGCCCATTATATTTCAGAAACTAATCTTAAAATATATTTTTACACAGTTCTTGCTTTTACCATAATGGCTAATCCCTGTAGGATCACTTAATCTTCTGTCTCTTCAGAAATGAATCCTTGCAATTTGTTGCACTGTTTAATTATTCTGGATTTGATTTTCTCTAATGGATTTGGAAGGTTGTAAACAGTGGGCTGTTTGTTTAGGGAGGTGGTTATGGGATGAAACCTTCCCATCTGGTTTAAATATGAACTACAGATCTCTTTATTTGGAATGAGGGTGTTTCAACATTGCCAAATCACTAATAAAATACAAAATTCAGTACCTCTCTGACTCTTTTTTTAATGTGTGAAAAGACTTTACCTTGTGCTTGGAAATCTAGATTTTTGCATACACACCTCTAATTAGCTACTGAGATGAGAACAGCTGTCCATAATGAAGGTCATCTCCTTGTGGTATTGTCTTTTGAATAGCCCCCATCCTTTACCAGAATAAGATGTAATGATGCAGTGAAATAGTTGTAAATGTTTCTTTACATTGCTTGGCAAAATGGATATAGTAGAGGAAATATAAAAAGAATAATCAACACAAAACTGCTTTATTAAAAACTAGCTTCCAGATGTGGTGGTGGTGTGATGCCATTTTGTTGCTTCTTGCCACCTGGAAGTGATAGTGCAAAGAGTGGCTCGATGAGACATGGAAGGATAAGAATGGGAGAGAATGTAATGTAGAGCCTTGAAAGCAAGGACAAGTAACTTTGACTTGACGTGATGAAGGAGGAGGAGCCAATGGAGCAATGCGAAGATAGGATGATAGGTTGGATCAGCTGTCAAGAAATATTATTTTAATAGCTCCTTTTTGTACTGGATTAGGATTAGGAATCATGTAGAGTTTAGAGAAACAGAAAGGAGATGGTGCAGGCCTGGATTAGAGCTTTAGCTGTAGACGCAGGAACTTTGTTGAGGAAGTGGCCAGATTTAGACATGACCTGAATGTTTGGAGAAAACTACCCGGAAGAGTCTAAGATCTCCTGTTTAAAAGGTGGAGTGTGGTGGGGGAGGATGGCTAATTCCACATTTACAGAGGAAAGGGGTGTGTCAGGGAGTTCTAGTGAAAAGTAGTTGAGAGAAAACAGGATTTTGTTTTTGGCAAAGTTAAATTTTAGATCTAATAAATGCTGGGAGGCTAGTCACAATTGAGAAGAGATGGGATTGATAGCTTCAAGCGTCAGGTCTGTATTTATGTGAATATGTTGAATATAAAAGAAGAGGTTGTCAAGAACAAAGCCCTGAGCAAGTCCCACTTGGAATGGGGAGGAGGAAGGTCTACCACTGAAGGAATAGCCAGAGGAGGGGGGAGGAGGAGATGATGATGTTTGGAATAGCCAAGGGAGACATAGCTGTTAGGAAAGAAGAGGTAAACATATTAAAGAGGTCAAAGGGGGAGGATGACATACTCTGAATTTTGATCAGTGAAAGGTAGTTATCCCTCTGCAAGAGAAACATTGATGCTGTGGGGAGGCCAGAAGCCAGTTTAGAGGGGATCGAAGATGGAATTGAGAGAGGAATTTGGTAAAATGTAGACACCCATACCTAAAGATAGTAGCCATGTCATTTTGTGTTGGAAGTAGTGGGTGGAGAAGAGGGAAGGAGTTGGGGCTATACAGGGGAACAGCATGGCTTTTTTTTTTAATAATCTGAGCTGGGGAGACACTTATTCAGAACAGAGGGGAAAGATTAAAAGCTCGCTGCTACTCTTTGGCCAGTCTAAG